GATGACGATGATATGGATGATGTTACCGATGATGATGATGATGATGATGATGATGACGATGCTGATGGTGACGATGATGATGATTCCGGTGATGACGGTGAGATGCGGGTGACGATAGCGATGATGATGATGATGATGATGATGATGATGATGATGATGATGGTGACGATAAGGACGGCGATGACGAAAATGACGATGATGATGATGGTGATGGTGTTAATTGTACTGATGATGACGATGAATGTAGATGACGATGAAGACGACGTTGATGATGACGACGATGATAATGATTATGCTGATGACAATGGTGGTGACGATCATGGCGATTGTGATGATGACGATGGCGATTACGATGAAGATGGTGAATGGTGATGTCTACGGTGACGAAGATGACGCTGATGACGGTGACGATGATGATCATGATGATGACGATGATGATGGCGCTGATGACGATGATGATGATTATGATGATGACGATGACGATGACGAGTCTGGCGATGACGATGATGACGATGGCGATGACGATGGTGATGTCGATGATGACGATGTCGATGACAGGGGTGATGATGATGGCGATGACGATGATGATAATGCCGGTGATGGTGATGATGGCGATGCTGATGATGATGCCGGTGGCGATGATGATGGCGATGACGATCATGACGATGACGATGGCGATGGTGATGGTGACGATGGTGCGGATGACGATGACGAAGGGGGCGATGACGCCTACGATGGTGACGATGGTGGCTCCGGCTGGACTCGGGCGGCCTCGCGTTCTGCCAGATGGCATCGGAGGATGACGATGATGACGATAATGAGGGTCATGGCGATGATGGCGGTGACGATGGTGACGATGACGATGGCGCTGATGATGGTCATCACAGTGATGACGATCATGGAGATGTTAATTGTGACGATGATAGTAATGATGACGCCGAGGATGATCATAGTCATGATGGCGATGAGTGGTCGTGTCGACGATTGGTGAGGACGGTGCTAATGGTGATGGCGATGGTGATGTCGGTGATGCCGATGGCGATGACGATGATGACGATGATGACGATGATGGCGATGCTGGCGGGGATGACGGTGATGATGTTTGTGATGGCGATGACGATGAGTGGTGACCACATTGATGACGATAATGACCATGGTGACGATTCTGATGATGAAGACAATGGTGGCGATGATGATGATGATGCTGATGCTGATGATTGTGATGGTGGCGCAAATTTGGTGATGATGATGACGATGGTGGCAATGTTGACAGTGCTGACGGTGATGGAGATGATGATGGTAACGATGATGATGATTGATGGTGTTGACGGTGGCCATGTGTGTTGATGAGTGATGGTGATTATTCTGGCGATGTTGACGATGGTGACGGTGATGATGACGATGATTATGTCGATGAATTGGGATGACAATTAATGGTGGTGACGATGATGTCGTTGACGACGATGAATTATGATGCTGATGATGACGATGATGATGGCGATGACGATGACGTTAATGATGATGACGATGGCGATGGCGATCATGACGATGGTGCTGATCATGATGATTATGATGCTGTTGATAACGACAATGATGCTGTTGACGATGAAGACCGGTGGCAAAGATGGCGAGGATGACCACGATGACGACACTAATGGCGACGATGATGATGACGATGATGACGATGACTATGATAACGACGATGATTATGGTTACGATGATGATTATGATGATGAATGTGGTTGTGATGAAGATGAACGGTGGTGACGATAATGAGGATGATGACGATGCTAGGGACGATGATGGTGATGATAATGCTGGGGATGGTGCTAATAATGACGAGGACGGCGACAATGATGGAGGCGATGATGGTGATGGTGATGACGATGGCGACGGTGATGGTGATGATTACGATGATGGTGACGATTGCGATGATTCCGATGTTGACGATGATGGTGATCATGGGGATGACGATGATGGTCGTGATGATGACGATGACTGTGATGGCGGTGATGACGATGAATGCGGTGACGATGATGATGATGGTGCTGATGATGATGTTGATCACCGCGATGACGATGGTTCTTGATGATGGTAGTGGCAGTGGCGCTGATGATGTTGTTCAATCATCGTTGTGGTGTATGATGTTGGCGATGTTGATGATAGCGGTGTTGGTGATGATGATGATCATGGCGACGACGACGATGACGATGATGATGATAGTGAAGATGAAGAAAATGCTGATGATGGTGGGAATTGTGATAACGGCTTTGATGATGCTGACAATGGTTGTGACGATGACGGTGCTGTCGATGAGGATGAGGATAATGATGATGGCACTGAAAAGCGACGACGATGATGGGGATGATAATTTTGGCGATGATGATGATGATGGTGATGATGATGCCGACGGTGTTGATGATGGTGATGATGATGACGATGACGATGATGATTCTGTGATGATGCCGACGACGATAATTTCGATCAGTTGTGATGATGAGGATGATGGTCATGATTATGACGATGACGGCGATGTTCTTGATGATGATGGTGACGATGATGATGTTGGTGATGATGATGATGATGATGATGGTGATGGTGATAATGATGAGCATGATGATGGTGATGCTGGTAATTGTGGTGGTGGAGATGATGACGATGAGGATGAGGATGCTGATGATGATGAGGATGATGAGGATCATTGTAATGATGATGATGATTCTTCTGATGATGAGGATGCTGACGGGGATGACGACGATGACGATGACGACGATAACGACGACGTTGACGAGGATGATGATGACGACGATGATGACAGTGATGACGATGATGATGCCTCATAGTGATGCTGATGATGATGTTGCCGACCGTGAGGACGATGACGACGGTGATGATAATGACGATTGTGATGATGATGATGATGTTGATAATTGTGACGATGCTAATGATGACAGTGAATTATGATGACGATGTTGACGGTGACGACGATGAGCACGATGCATATGATGATGACGACGATGGTGATGATGATGCTGACGACGGTGATGATGATGACGATGACGGTGATGATGACGATGATGACGACGACGATGTTGATGATTCTGATGACGATGATGACGATGATGACGATGATAGGAATGATGCTAATGATGATCATCTTCAGGATTGTGATGCTGATGATGATATATAAGTAGTATGACGATGACGGTGATTGTGTTGTGGTCTTGACGGCGATGATGATGATGAGGATGAGGATGATGACGATGACGACGAGGATGACGATGATGACGATGATGACGATGATGACAATGACTGCGATGACGACGATGATGATGACGACGGCGACGAGGACGAAGACGATGACGCTGATTTTGATAATGATGCGAAGGATTCTGATCACGATGATGACGACGACGATGACGATGACGATGACGATGACGATTGCGACGACAACGGTGATGATGATGATGTCGATGATGGTGAGAAGGAGGAGGAAGAGGATGATGATCATGATGACGATGATGATGATGATGATGAGGAGGAGGAGGAGGAGGAGAAGGAGTAGGAGGAGGATGATGATGATGCTGATGGTGGTGGTGGTGGTGATGATGATGATGATGATGATGATGGTGATGGTGGTGTGATGGTGGTGGTGGTTTCATTGTAGTGGTGGTGCTGCTGATGATTGTGATGAACGATCACACTTCTAACAAGGACGAGGAGGAGCAGTAGCAGTAGCAGGAGGAGGAGGACGACCCGCGGGTCGGCGCGGCGCGGGAGGATCTGTGGCAGGGCGGGGGTCTGGGCCCGCTTTCGGGGAGCCCTCGGCCTCTCGTTGCAGGCAGCCCCGGGCTGCGCTCGCAGTCTGGCCGACCCGTCGCCGCAGCGAAGGCGCTCGGCCCGCCCGCCTCTTCCCCCCCGGACCTCCGACGCTCTGCCCCTCCTCCAATCCCGGCGTCTCCCTGGGAGCTCTGCCCTCGGGGGCCGTCGACGGGCCCCAGGACCATCAGGAAGGATCCTGGGGAAGTCGGCGCGGCTTTCCGAGTGCCCGAATTCCCAGAGGTTCAGCATTCCATCTAGGCGAACTCCTGGGAATTCGAGAGTTCGGGGCGATGTGGCGGGGAAGAAGAGGTGGGGACCCCTGGGGCCGCGCACTGGAGAAGCACATCGTCGGATGTCTGGGCCGAGCGCTCGCCACGGCCAGGCTTCACCCCGGCGCTCTCCGCAGCAGAGGCGATGGCGCTGGCAGAGAGGCGGTACACAACGCCAGGGATGACGAAGGCGATGTGAGAAGAACAGGCAGGCGCTAGAAGCAAAGGTGCATGACGAAACAGCAGCACAATGCGTACGTCAAGCAACGGCACATCAAACACATGTGAGATCGAGCTCGCAAGCCCAAAGCAAGCAGCAAATGAAGCATGGTTCCACGAATGTGAAGGGAAGACTTGCAAGCAACAGCTCTTAACGTCACACCTGCTTCACAAACGAGCGCCGTCCATATGATTCAAACAGAGGGTGCGCACATAAGCGTAATACATCTAAGGCAGTCGCACCAGCAGTATCTCAATAATATTAACATAACTTCGAAAACAGCTCACACGCGCGAAGGCGAATGAGTAACAGCAAGCCCGAGGGCGAAATCAGCTGGCTCAATTTCCGTTCCCCTTGCCACCCTTCCTCTTGCGCGGCTTACCTCACCTTGTGCGCCGACGAAGCTCTGCCATCGCATGGCACGCGCGATCGTTGTCGCGTCGTCGGGGTCCTGGAATAGCTGTCTGTGCTGCCAGTTGCAGCTGCCACGGCGGCCTCGCCGCCAGGCGCCGCCGCTGGCCTCGCCGCGGCCCCGCCGCCGGGCGTCGCTGCCGCCGCCGATCCCGCCGCGGCTGCGGCGCCAGCCTCTTGTGTTGCGGAGCACTGTCCTGGCCAGGGCGCCGCCTGCGGAGCGCCCGGCGCCGCCGCCAGAGGGCCGGCCGCCCTTGTCGCCGACGGGCCGCTCGCGAAGGCGCTGGAGGCCGCCGCAGCCCCACCACCGGGCGCGGGGCACGGGGCAGCCGCGGCAGCGG